GTCTATATATGCACATATAGTATCGTTTCTCATATCGGGAAACGATTAAGAATCGGAAATAAACCATAAAAATATGTCATTAATGCCGAATGGAATAACAATGATAACCACAATTTGAATAGTTACAGCACAATTAAGGTTTTATAATGTGACACCATTTAAAGAGGAAATGTTCCTATTCACATAAATGATCTCAAAGGATGTTGTAATTTATACTGTAACTTAATGTATATCTAATTAAATTCCAATGAATGGGATTAGGTTAATATTATTTGTAACAACATTTCTTTTAAAACCAATATATTCAATTAGATGGAATTAATGTTATTTAAATGATATATTTTTGTCTTCATTGAACTGATGGAAAATATAAGAACCCTTTAAGAAAAAATAAATAATTTAGCCAAAACTAATAAGATCATAACCCACCAAATGCAGTTGTTATTCTATATACATCAAAGGAATTGTATATTTGAAGTGACAGAGATTCAATTAGTCTAATTCAAATTTAAGACTCCCATGTCAAAGATAGATACACGAATGAGCCTATACATGTATACACATATGTGTGCACAAATCTATGCTCTCATACCTACATACACGCATCATACCTAGTTATAATAAGGAGATGGTTCATTTATAGAAAGTGGCACAACTCAAAATCGCTGTTTAATCCGTGAGGTAGCATGGTGTTTAAAGTGAAAATCCACCTCATTTCCATTCGACCTATATGTTGTGTCAAATCTTCGCCCCTCCAGTTCGGAATAATCTTTTGTATTCCCAAAAATTGAATGTTTGTGGGATCTTATGTGGGATATTATGGGTTTTTAACCCCTTAAGGACACAACTTATGGAATAACATGGAATCATGACGGAATATTTCCGTCATCTGTCCTTAAGGGGTTAAGAAATGTAAGGAGAGGCTGTGTTTGTCAAATCCATTACGGATATTTCTGACATGCTCTTGAATGCGTATATAGAGGGGACGTATGGTGCGACCCACATATGCAAGGCCGCAAGGGCACAGGATAATATATATTACCTTTTTCGAATGACATGTAATTAATTCATTAATTTTAAAAGGTTTTTTTAGGGTTTTTAGGGTGTGGAAATGCTGTAATATATCTCTTTTTGTTATAAGTATTCCTACAAGCTATACAGTTACCACAACCGAAAAAACCTTTGGTGTCATTTAAAAAATGTGTGCTTTCCTTTTTTCTTATGTGGTTACGCACTAAAGTTCTATTGAGATTTGGAACCCCTCGATAAATTACGATAGGTTTTTCTGGAAGTATGGAGTTTAATATGTCGTCATTTTTAAGGATAGGCCAATGCTTATTTAAGATTCTTTTGATTTGTTTGTTCTTACAATTAAAGTAAAATATAAGGGTTGGCTCATTGGTGTTAGTGTTCTTAGCTGTATCTTTATATCTTAATAAAGAAGATCTATCTCTTGCTTTGACTTCTTCATAAGCCTCATTTAGTATCTTTATAACCCTTCTCCTTAAATTTTTTTATAATGGTGGATGCTTGATTTTGAAATATACCCTCATCTGTGCAATTACGTTTAATTCTAAGTAGTTGTGCCTTTGGAGCATTGAGGAGCCAAGGTGAAAAGTGGCAGCTACTTTCTTGTATATAGCTATTGACATCTGTTTGTTTGAAAAAAGTACTGGTCTTTAATATACCTTTTTCTATGTATATATTAAGGTCAAGGAAATTGACCTGAGTTTTACTAAAATTAGTGGTTAATTTGATTCCCCAATCATTAGACTCAAGATGAGTTAGAAAAGTTAAGAGTGATTGTTCATCCCCCTTCCAGATGAAGAACAGATCATCGATGTATCTGCAATAGGTCATGAGGTTCGCCCCCATCTGTCATCATTGTAAATAAACTGTTGTTCCCAGTGAGACATAAAGAGAATTACTGTGGGTGGTTATAGCTTCTTTGCGGGTGCTCTTGGATTGCATGAATAGTGCAATGGGTTGTGCTAAGAAAAATTGTAAGGCAAGTGCATCTTAGTTCCTGAAGAGCTACCGATATCTCCATCCTGCTCGGCACCCTCTGTGTGTGGGAGATGTGGCCTGCTTTCACTTCTTCCTGGTATCACTTATACTACAGAGGGCCGGCTCTTTTGTTAAAGAGCCACTTTGCCCGACCAGGTCCCTGTTCAGCAGCACCCTTATGATGGCCCTATGACCCCACAGCTGCCGCCCTGGCTGCACCAGAGGTAGTTCCACCTCTGATCAGAATCCCACTGGGCTCATTTTGCCATCCCAGGGCCTCAGCACTGCAGGACCACTGGACCAGGAAATATCTGCTCACTCTAGGTGAGTACTGTTGATGCCTGTCCTGTCGATTTGTTGTGACACAGAGATTAATAGCCATTTTAAATAGTAGTATGTACATCATATACAGGAAAATAAAACCAAGTCCTGAAACTTTATTCCACAGAAAATAGCATCAGTAAAGAAACAAAATATATATTTCCGTCCATTCAAGCCTAAAGCAGCAAAACAACTTTTGCTTAATGAACTGGTTTTGGTGTATAGATCATTATCTGCCATTTTGGTCACTTTGCTTATGAATTCCTAGCCACATCCCCCCTTTGATGTGACTCTCCCAGTCACCAAAGAGTTTCATTTTCACAGCACAATGCAATTCCTATCAATGTTTTTCTCTCCTGCTCTGTTAATTGAACTTAAGTCACACACAGAAGGCTACTGCAGGCTCTAGCAGGCTATTAATAGAGCAGGAGATAAGAAATCCTGCACTAAACAGACTGTGCAATAAAGGAAGTTTACACATTATCTCTCTCTTTACAGGGAATGTGTAAGGAGACTGTGTAGGTCACAGTAGTTTCACGTAGGGGATCAGTGACTCTTAAATGGCATAGAAATAAGCAGTGAGACAGCAGGGGCATGATCTATACACCAGAACCACTTTCTTAAGTTAAAGTTGTTTTAGTACTTAAAGTGTTCCTTTAAGTCTCAACGTGTTTTTTGTTTTTTTTTCCATTTTTTTTTTTAATGTATACATCTCAGTTAGCTATGAATAGGAGTAGGGTTAGGGGTTCTTTAGTCTTTAGAAAAAAGCGATTCTCAATACCAGACACACTGACAAACATACACACACATGCAGAGACAAACATATGTAAATCCACCGCCAAGCACACAAACACTAATAGATTCACACACACACACACACCGACAGACACACATAAACAAGGATTGACAGAGACCCCCACAAACGCAAATATTAAAATGTAAAATGTTTTAGTCACCCTGCTCTTTACTTACTTTTTGCCAGGAAGATGGCTTCCCTGTGGTTCGATAGGGTCCAGTCCATTGAATGCAGGCTGTGCGCAAGTGGCTATAATGGGCAGTTTCTGTCTTCTGAGCACTGGGAGGAATAGATCGGACATCTCTTCCTCTCAGTGCTGCTGTGCATGTGGAGATGCTGTACCTTGTAAGGGGTCTGTGCCATCATCAGATTCCGGATGTTGTCCGGTGCTCAACCAGACCATGTAACATTGCAGGTGCCTTTTGTGGACCCCAAAGCATGGGCTAACAGATTATGGGCTGTTCATTCCTGATGGTGGCCCTACTGCCCTGGAACCCTCAGCTTACAGGCAGTATCTTCCTTCCTCTCTTGTCCCAGCTCAACCCCATCTCCATCTCTCTTTCACCCCTCAGCTTCAGCTCCCTCTCTCTCTCCCACCCAGCTCCATGTCCCTTTCTCCCTCAGTTCCATCCCCCATTAATCCCCTCCATCCCTCTCTCACCCCTTCATCTCCCTCTCTCCTCACCAGCTTCACTTTTCTCTCTCCCAACCAGCTTCATCGCCATTTCTCCCTCTAATCCATCTCCCTCCATCCCTCTCTCTCCCCTCTGCTCTATCTGCCTCTCTCCCCTCAGCTCCATCTCCCTCTCTGCCACCTAATTCCATCTTCCCCTCTCCAAATCTGTTACCGCTCTCCAATTCAGCTATTTCTTCCTCTCTTCCCTCCATCCATCAACTCTCTCTCCCATCGATCTCCATCTCGCCCTCTCCCCTCCCAGCTCCATTGTAATAATAATAATCCTTAGAGTCACCTGCGCACCCATGATGGTGATTCCCTTTCCCTCCCCCGAATCTGCAGCACTGTGAGAAGCGACTTACTGCTGTCACTCCTCGCAGCTCCTAATAGTGGACAGCCTCTGATGGTGGCACTCTGCTGGCTTCTCCATGCCTTTTCTTCAGTTAGGTGAGTTAGGCAGCTGCAAGGCCCCAGCGAGTGCGAGGCCCTAGACGGCCTATCTAATAAGAGAGCTGCTTTTGTGTCCCACCTCTCATAAATGCTTCAACTTACCTGAAATCTCACCCTGCCTTGCTCGGCACTACCATTTCTGACGTCACAGAGGTCCAATCAAAGGCTGCTGGTAGAGAAGCCTTTCATTGGACCACTTAACTGGCTCAGAGTGCATGTGGGTTTTGAGCTGGCGAGCAGAGAGAGGGAGTGAAGAAGGCAGGATGCCCCAATGCTGCCCCTTTCAGGCTATGTTTGCAGAGGAGAAGCTAATTACGTCTATTGCCAGAGTGCAGTGAGCGCTGACGACAGACGCACAAACTCTGTTCCTGGCTTCCACGTCACGTGTATGGGGGCATAACCAGCAAATATTTCAGTATGTGCAGCATTTCAAGACTCCTACTACCGTAATCACTTCTGAAAGCATAAGTGGACATGTTGGTTGGTCTAACACTTTAAATATAGATGATATGTAAACATAATATTGAAAAAAATCTGGGAATTTTTAAATCTGCATCCCATCCCAGAGGTCCAGCACACCTCGCTTAATCCTTAATTTTAACCTCATATCATGTTATTGTGTACTCACTGCCCTGGTCTTGAAAGGTAAAGAGCAGACCTTTGATAGGTATTTAATCGTAATGTACTTGACTTTTCTATTCTTTTGTTTACTAGTATGTGTATGTGCTTAAATTGATTTTTTTTTTTTTTTTAGAGTACAACCACACTTGAAAAAATGTTTTGAAGGAATAGCTAAAGTGGAATTTACAGATGTCTTGGATATCACACACATTAAAAGCAGTGAAGGAGAGGTGGTCCAACTAATAAATACAATTTCAACATCTAAAGCCAGAGGCCAAGTGGAAAAATGGCTTCTTGAACTTGAATCTTCAATGATCAGTTCAATTCACAAGGTAGAAAGGTTTCTTAAGATACTTCACTTTTGGTTTTCTTGATATGTCGGCATGGAATATTCCCTAAATCATATTTGATTTATATGGACATGCCACATTTCAAATCTTACATCTTAGTAATTATTGTGATCAATAGCTTGTTATTGCTTGCTGTAAATTCAAGTTTTTTTATTTTTTATTATGGACTCACAGAATGTAAAATAAAACAAGATTTCAGTAATGTTTGTATGCTATAAAAACCTTGCACTTATATTAATCATAACAATTACAACATTTCAAAGGTGCACAGATTAATTAACAGATTGAATATATTCACTTATATTAACAGTATCGTATTGACAAACATTTCATGCTTAATGTTTTTGTTTGCCTCCGTATTGTAACTATGATCAACTGTGAATGTCCTTGGTTCTATACAACATATTTTATTGGTATTCTCTCAATGTTTTTGTAATAATATGCTAATTGGTTACATTTATTGTGGTTAATTTTTTTATATTTCTAGATAATTTAGAATTCTGATTTTTTCCCTCTACCTCAAAGCGGCTCTCCAGACCCCTAAAGAACTTGAGCATACTGAAGTGCTTTATGTATGAAGAATGTGTCCTCTTTTATTCGTTTAAAAAAAACCCGTGGAATTTCAATAGAAATTGACACTTTTCAAAATTAACCTTGTTATACCCATCAAGGCTGCCCATCACACAACCAGTCCTGTTACTTCTAGGTTGTTTAGCTCACTGAAGCTAAACATAAAAGGCAGGCATAAACAACTTTGTCATTTTGCAGGTCATGGTACAGCCCAAGACTGGGATGGTCCTAATATTCCCTAACTGGATTCAGTCCCTGCTGCAAAATGCACAATACTGAAAATACCATTTTGTTGACCTTGTCATTTCTGTTTTTCAATATAAAAAGAAAGAAACAGACGATATGAAGTAATTGTGGGTTTGTTCATTTGACCTAACGAAACAGTAGTAATTCACTGCTCCCTATTTCCACATAAATAGACCTGTTCCTAGATGTCTTTTATGTGAAAAACTACACCCCTTTTCTGACAAAAAAACTACTTTTATTCACTTATACCCACGACCGGATTAACTGATGGAGCAGAAGCTCCAGGCCCATTGATAAAAAATAAAAAATAAAAAAAAATAAAAAATATATATATATATATATATAATTTTTCAACTACTCTTCACATATTCTTGCTTGGTGCAGAAGGAGTTAAGTATGGTAACTTATGTTGGATGTAGGGTAGCAAAATTTACGTGGATTGGCTGTATATAAATTAGTTAAGGTAAAGCTGACTTTGTGCACTGTGCAAATGCTCTTGCTGCTTTGGTCTCCCTAACACTGCGGCATGTCCCCTTTCTTCTACATTCACTATATACACCTTTTCACCAGGGGCGGCTCTAGACTTTATGAGGCCTTAGGCGAAACTCAAATGTGAGGCTCCACTAACACCCAAAGTGAAAAAAATAGGGTTGCATCTTGTGTGTGTATAAGAAGCACAAATTGAAAGGCAGGCTATCAGTATGGATACAGAGAGTTAGTCTCTGCATTCATTGTTTAGAAGCTTGCAGTGTCGCGGCTTCCTGTGCCCCTGCATTGTGAGCTTTTTGGCTGTAGTTGTAGCATAATTTGCAAACAAAATTAATTTGTAATAAATAAATTTCATTTGCAATTATGACAATCGTTTATACACAATTATGAGGTATGGTTGTATAGCCTGGCAATCGTGTATAAAAAAAAGTTCTGGTGTGAAGTGGTTATTGTTTCAGAAAAAAAATCTTTTTTTTTTGTTTTCAAATAATAAATCTTTTTTTTGTTTACCAAATAATAAAGTTACAGATAAAAACAAACAAACAGTGCCATAGATATTTTCTCCATGGTTGACATGGTTTGAAAAGGGAGTGTGACAAGTGGAGGTAAGTGTGTCAGGGCAAAGTGTGTCAGGGTTGGGGTGAAGGGTGAATGTGGCATGGTTGGAGAAGAGAGTGTGACAGGATTAATATGACAGGGTGAGTGTGGCAGAGTGTGACAGGATTAGAGGCATTAATGTGACAGGATAAGTGTGGCAGGGTTGGGGGGAAGAGTGCGACAGAGTGAGAGAAGGTGAGTGTGACAGAATTAGGGGGGTTAATTTGACAGGGTGATTGTGGCAGAGCGAGGGCAGTTGAGGGGGTGAGATTACCAGGATTAGGAGTTATTAATGTGAGTGTGGATGCATGAAGGGACTGCCAGTTTGGGGGGGTGACAGCGTGAGGGGAGTATGGTGAAACTACATTGTGGGGGGTGACACTGAGTGGGGGAATGACAGTGTCTTTGTGAGGGGGTGACAGCGTGTATGAGGAATGACTGTGTGTGACAGGGTGATACTGTGTGTAGGAGGGGGTGACAGTGTGTGTG